CAAAAATCATCAAACATTTTGTAAAAGAAATTTCCGAAAACCCTAGTTTATAAAAAAGATTAAAATCACTTGAAAATCATACGATTCTTGTAAAGAATCTCAAGGTGGTTGTAAAACTCATATGAAACAAGTCCAAATCATCTCAGATCTTTTACAAATCCAAGAGATTTAGAAGAAAGATATTAGGGTTTCGAGGAGAACAACACAGAGGTGAAGAAACATGCTTAGAAACCCATAGATCATTGTCAATATAGGACGATCTTACTTGGAATCACAGTGGAACAGTCTGAAGTAGGCGAGAAAGGAGCCATAGATGCAAGCCAACTAGCCCTGGTCCCTTGAGGACCATGTATATGGCAATATCAATGTGAGAGAGGCTAATAGAGGCCTGGGGGTGGCGAAAGANTTGGTTTATTTTAAGAAGCGTCGTTTGTGGCCGTTGATCTCTATGATCAACGATTGAGATTGAAGGGGTTTTGGGGCCGGATCGGGTAGCAGGGTTTGGGCTAGGTAATTTGAATTACAATTGGGCTGATTATTGGGTCGAGATAGGGCTAAAAATTGAAATAAAATAGGCCAGATTCTAAATAGCCACTTTAATAGCTACATAATTTATAAAAATAGTAAATGAGTTCCAAAAAATATTTTTGTGTACTTAAATGATTTAAAATAGTTATTTAATATTTTTAAAATGTAAAAGACCATTTTATGCATCAATAATGTAATATACGCTAACATGAGCTATTAATGCAAAGATTTGCAATTTAGCCTAAAAATGTAAATGCAATTATACAAAAAATACTAAAAATATTTAAACAATTATGATGGAATAAATAATGAATCTAAATCACCAAATTATCACAAAATAATTTGAAGAATAATTATTGGATATTTTATAAACAAAAAAGAAGAAATAAATTGATTTAGAGCTTTTTAAATTATAGAAAAATTATAAAAATGCTTAGGCATTCTTATAACTGCATATGTGCTATTTTGAAAGTATATATATAAATGTATTAAAAAATATATGAGGAAAAATTGGGTATCAACACTTTCCAAAATATCTGTACAATGTATTTATACACTTGCACAACTGTCACCAGCTTTAACTTCCACTAACTATTACTCTAACTGCCTTACTACATTGATAGCCTAAATGTTTACAGAAATAGCATATGTAAAATGAATAAAAGATGACTAACTATTAAATAATCTCAACAGAATGATTAAAACTATTTATATTTCTAAATTCATTATATTTCTAGTATAACATCTTTTACAATCCCGGAGAGATAGTTCACTAATAGACCGAGGGATAAGTCATTCGACTCATTTATGTTCAGATCATGAATGTTTGGAATCCATATTATGCAAGGAGACATTAAACACCTCAAACCTACCATCTTCAAGGGGACAATAGATTTCCAGATGAGGGGAAGAATTATTATTTGCTAAGCAAAGAAAGTTGCAAGTCTTTAAGAAGGAACGATGAAGTGATATATTGCTTCAGACATATAGGAGTTGTATATCATGAGAATAAATATAGGCATGAGAAATTAACTTGACCCTGAAATTTTACTTTGCAAGTAGAAAAAGGGCAGCCTGGTGCACTAGCGTCGGATCCGGGGAAGGGCCGGACCACAAGGGTCTATTACGTAGTCTTACCCTACATTTCTGAAACAGGTTGTTTCCACGGCTCGATCCCGTGACCACTTGGTCACATGGCAGGTATGACTTTACTTGTAGAAAAGATAGGAAATACAACTTACCCCGTCTACAAAATGACATTAACGAGATCCAATTTTAACACATATCCATACTCATTTTCATACATTTCTTCTAAGTTGATAAAAGAATATACGTGGATACAAGATGCACATAGGCAAAACAAGGTAAACAATGACAAAACTTTCCATTTGCATCCTAGAATCAAGGGAATTAATGTCTTCATCCTTTAAGGAGGAGAATTTGTTTAGAATAGGAATGGACTATTTTTCCTTTAATGTAGGAACTGCACCCAAATTAATGCCCGTCAACGAGTGGTGTTCATAAGAGTTAATAGTCTTTAGGTCTTGAGAAGATGAAACATTAGATGTAGCAATTATTCTTAGGTTTTGAGAAGAGGAAACATTAAAGGGTTCATGTTTTTTTGCTTTATAAAATAGTTTTTGAGTGTTGAGATACTTACCTGATGCCACATCGAAAATATTTACATCTATACCTGTTTTTGGATCCGAAGGAATGGCTAGATGTTGTTCTTCCTGTAAGGATGGCTGCTTCTCCAAAGTTTTTTGCCTGCTTTGGTTTTAATCTGGGGAAGATGACAGTGTGCCACTTATTCTCCGTCGGGGGGAATTTCCACATCTTTGTTGGAGTCTTTTATCATTATTGGTTTGATCCTATTATGAGGGCATGAGAGAGCTACATGTCCCAAACAACCACAGTTTTTGCATAAAAAATTGTTTCTTTCATATTTTAATTGCTGGAGGTGAGATCTAATTAGGATACATGGTTGGATGGGATCATCTAGAGGCAATTCTACAAAAAATCTCGCGTATCAATCCCTTGGTGTGGTACTGGTACATGCATAAATGTTAAGAAGTTTCCCAATAGAGTTACTAATTTTTTGTAGGACTATGCCCTCGTAGAACTCAGTAGGTAATTGTAGAAGGCGTACCCAAACGGTCATATGCACTTGTTCTGCTTTCTCGGTTACAATATTTGGTTCCTATTGTTTAATGGATAGGAAGTAACCATTAATGAACCATGGGCCATTTTGAAGGCTTGTGTCATATTTTCTTCTTTGGTGAATTTGATAATAAAATAGTCGTGATCCAGATGGATTAAAGGGAAGGGTTCTGTGGGTTTTCAAAGTTGGGTTATTTTTTCTTTTAGATATTGGTGTAGGATACGTTTGCCAATAAACTTGATTATTAGAGAATATTTCCATGGGGAGTACATACGATTTCGATCTTCCTCCGTTAATTAGATTTATTTGATACCTTTGGTATTAATGGTTGTGTTGGTACTATTGGGAAGCGTGTCAAGCTAATAGAAGAAAAAGAAATTTAATAGAGAAAAACAATAAATTGCACAAGACAAGATTTACGTTATTCGGTAATTTTTGCCTACTCCACGGCCACACAAAGAATAGCTCTTATTAATTGAAGAGAGAAAGAAGAAGTTTTTGGGATGATCTACAGATGAAAATGTAGATACCTTTTTATAGACATTTGAATGCCCTGCCGAGGTAAGCTCTTACATCATAGAATGCCGATGTAAGCGCTTACATCACAAGAATGCAGAGGTAAGCACTTACATCACAAGAATGTCGATGTAAGCGTTTACATCATATTTTTATCTCTTTTTGATTTTTCTTTCTTTTGTTTTGTCTACTTTCACATATAACAATAGGTTTGCTCCTATTATTCTCCCCCTCAAACCTATGTTACATCAAGAAAGAAAATAAAAAAAGATTTGCTATTCTCTGGTGGCGCCTTCACGCTTTCAGTCTTGAAGGCTAACTGAGGCAGTGTACAACCTCAATTTATCAACACCAACAATTTTGGTCAACATATCTGACGGGTTCTTTGACCCTGGTATCTTCTGCAAGGAAAGAGTTCCTTCATTTATCAACTCTCAAATATGATAATACCTCAACTGGATATGCTTCGATCTTGCATGAAACACTGGGTTCTTGGCAAGATGAATTGCATTGTGCTTATCGCTGAAAAGCTCACAATTGTCCTGCTCTTTACCTAGATCTTTAAGAAAATTATTGAGCCAAATTATCTCTTTTCCAGCTTCTGAGGTTGTCATGTACTCTGCTTTAGTGGTAGATAGAGCAACACTTTTCTGAAGTCTGGACATCCAACTAACAACAATACCACCCAAGGTGAAAACATAGCTAATGGTACTTATTGGACTATCCAGATCGCCGCCAAAATTTGCATCAGCAAAACCTTGTAAGATAATATTTCTCTTTTTAAAACAAAGTGTCATACCTGAGGTGCCTTTGAAATATCACAATATCCATTTTACATCTTCCCAATGCTCCTTTCCTGGATCTGACATGTATCTACTGACAACTCCAATTGCATGAGCTATGTTAGGTCTAGTGCAAACCATAGCATACATCAAACTTCCTACTGCTGAAGTATACAGATCTTTGGACATGTACTTCCTTTCTTCATCTATCTTAGGTGATTGGTCCTTTAACAGATTAAGATGGCTTCCGAGTGGAGTGCTTTTAGTATTTGCATCATGAAGACTGAACTTGCTTAGTACCTTTTGTATGTACTTTTTTGAGACTAAGGTTCCTTCTGACCTGTTTCTGCTAATCCTCATCCCAAGCATTTGCTTAGCTGGTTCTAAGTCTTTCATTTCAAACTCCTCCGCCGGTTGTTGATTAACCAAGTTGATCTCATTTATGCTAGATCCTGCAATTAACATATCATCAACGTACAACAGTAAAATGATATGGGATTCATCAATATTTTTGATATAACAGCAAAGGTCCACCTCACATCGTGTGAAACCATTTTTATGCATGAATCTATCAAATTTCTTGTACCATTGTCTAGGAGCTTATTTTAAACCATACAAACTCTTCTTCAACTTATACACAATGTTTTCTTTACCAGAAACTTGAAAACCTTTAGGTTGCTTTATGTAGATGTCTTCTTCAAGGTCACCATGCAAGAAAGCAGTTTTAATATCTAGCTACTCCAAATGCAAATTTTCTGTAGCTACGATACTTAGCACCAACCTGATAGTAGTTAATTTGACTACTGGAGAGAAGATCTAGGTGTAGTCAATTTCTTCCTTCTGCTGAAAGCCTTTTACTACTAATCGTGCTTTGTATCTCTTCTTACCGTCATGCTCTTCCTTGACTCTATACACCCATTTGTTCTGCAATGGCTTCTTTCCTTTTGGTAACTCTGTAAGTATCCATGTTTTATTATTTTAAAAAAATTCATCTCTTCTTTCATGGCTAGCTTTCACTTATCAGAGTCTATCACCTGCATTGCTTCAAAAAAATGCTCTAGTTCTCCAGCATCAGTTAAAGGTAAATAGTGAAGAAAGAGAGTTAACCTATCTGGAGCATTCGTGACTCTATTATATCTCCTCAATATAGGTTCATGAGTAACTGAAACGGAATTCGATTCATGTCCTGATTCCAGATTTGGTTCTGCATTTGATTCTATCTCTAGTTCCGATTCTGGTTCTAATACAAATTTGGCTTTTAATTCTTCTTCAGATTTGGCTTCTGGTTCTTCATCTTTAATTTCTGAATCAGTTGTAATCTTTCTAGCCACTTCATTTTTGAAATTTCTTCTAACTCAACTGTTTTGGTTGTCTGTTTGCTTGTGATGGTTGGTTCTACTTCAAGCTTGTCCTTATACATCACGTTTTCATTAAATGTGATATTCCTTTGTCTTAGGATCTTTCTATTTTGATCATCCCAAAATCGATAACCAAAATTATCATCACCACAGCCAATAAAGAAACATTTCTTGACTTTAGGATCAAGTTTATCTCTATCATTAGAGTTTACATGCACACAAGCAACATAACCAAAAAATTTTAGATGTGAGAGAGTTACCTCTTTTCCTGTTCATACCTCCTGAGGAATTTCAAAATTCAGCGGTACAGAGGGTCCGCTATTTATGAGGTAAGCTGCCGTGTTAATAGCCTCAGCCCAAAAATGCTTCGGCAACCCAAAATGTATTCTCATACTTCTGGCTCGTTCATTCAGGGTTCTGTTCATCCTCTCAGCAATACCATTTTATTTCGGTGTTCTAGGAACAGTCTTGATCATTCTGATCCCATTCTCCGAGCAAAATGCTTTGAACTCTTGGCTATCATACTCTCCTCCATTGTCAGACTTCAGACATTTTACCTTTAGACTTGTTTGATTTTCAACTTCAACTTTCCATCTTTTAAAGGTAACAAACACATCAGATTTGTTTTTCAGAAAATAAACCCATACCTTTCTTGTAGAATTATTAATGAATGTGACATAATAGCGTGAGCCTTCTAGAGAAGTTGCAGGAGCTGGTCCCCACACATCTATATGCACTAGTTCCAGCTTCTCTTTCTTTGGCGTCCTTCCCACCTTTCAGAAATTAATTCTCTTTTGTTTCCCATAAGTGCAATCTTCACACAAACCTAATTCAACATGTTTTAGGTTTGGCAACTTTTCTTTGGATGCCAACAACTTCATTCCCTTCTCACTCATATGCCCGAGCCTCCGGTGCCACAATGTTGTATCACGACCATGATCAACTGTTGCTATGGTATCTCTATGTATTGCAGTTGCATACAGTGTTCCCCTTTTGAAGCCTCGTGCCACAACCAAATTCCCTTTGGTTATCTTCCACGAGCAGTTGCCGAATGTTGTTGTATATCCTTCACTACCAATCTGATCCATAGATATCAGATTTTTTTTGAGGTTAGGAACATGTCGTATATTTTGCAATTTCTATAGCCTACCTTGTGAAGTATTTATATGAACTTCAACTTTTCCTGCAATGTCGAGAGGTTCACCGTCTGCTAGATAAAATTTCCTAATTTTTCCAGCAATATAATTATGCAATAATTCTTTGAATGATGTAGAGTGAAAGGATGAACCTGAGTCCAGAATCCAAGATTCGACTGGACTGTCTACACAACAAATTAGTACATCACCGACTTGTTCAACAATTACATTTGCTGAATTTTCTTCTTCCTTCTTCGTCTTTGGTTATGTACATTGACTACTATAGTGACCCTTTTTATCGCAATTCCAACAAGTAATGTCCTTGCGATTTTTGGATTGTCCTCTTCTCTTTGACTTTGATCCGCCACGACCATAACTCTGTCCTCTTTGGTTGCTTTTCCCTCTGCTTTCGGTATTAAAAGAAGATACTGGTGAATCACTTGATTCTCTTCGGTGAATATCTTCGCTTAGAACCAAGTCTCTAATATCATTCAATTTGAGTTTGGTGCTTCCTGATGAACTGCTAACTGCAGTTACTATTGCAGACCAACTCTCCGGTAGAGATGATAGTAGAATCAACGCCCTGATTTTGTCATCAATTGTTCTATTAACAGAACTCAACTGAGTTAATATTATATTAAACTCATTGATATATTCCGTGACTGATCCACCTTCTGTCATCTTTAAGTTTAACAATCGACGCATCAAATAGACTTTATTTGAAGCAGATGGCTTCTCGTACATATTTGATAACGCCTTCATCAGGCCTGCAGTGGTCTTATCGTTAATGATGTTAAACGCCACATTTTGTGTTAGTGTCAAACAAATCACACCAAGAGCTTGGCGATCTAATAGATCCCAATCCGTTTTGGCCATAGTCTCTGGTTTCACCTTGGTCAGAGGTAAGTGTAATTTTTTCTGGTACAAATAATTCTCTATTTGCATTTTTCAGAATCCAAAATCTTTGCCATTGAACTTGTCAATCTTAACCTTCCCTTCTTCCGATGCCATTTTCCACAAAAGATTTATGTGAATAGTGTTTGTGAATTGTAACGATGATCAATAGTGTCGCACTATTCTTATGAATAGTACCTGTACCAATACTATACTTTTCTACCAGAATTACACTGTCTGTGCTCTGATACAAGTTGTTGGGAAGCGTGTCAAGCTAATAGAAGGGAAAGAATATTTAAGAGAGAAAATTAATAAATTACATAAGACAAGACAAGACAAGATTTACGTGGTTCAACAATTTTTGTCTACTCCACGGCCACACAAAGAATAACTCTTTATTAATTGAAGAGAGAAAGAAAATGTTTATGGGATGATCTATAAATGAAAATGTAGACCTCTTTTTATAGGCATTTGAATGTCTTGACGAGGTAAACGCTTACATCATAAGAATGCCGATGTAAGTGCTTATATCACAAGAATGCTGAGGTAAGTGCTTACATCACAAGAATGTCGATGTAAGCGCTTACATCATATTTTCATCTCTTTTTGATTTTTCTTTCTTTTGTTTTGTCTACTTTCACATACAACAATAGATTTGCTCCTATCAGGTACCATGGATCACATGTTCCATGGATTCCGTCGACTACGAGGATGGGGAACCCAGCAACCAAGTGGTGGGTTGGTGTCTAGGTGAATTGTGTTGGGGTCTGCCATAGTTTCATAGGCAAACAACTTTTCTTTGAATGAGGATAAGCGAATTTGTTTTATCTCCAGTATCATTTTCGTTGGTAATATCAGGAGGTTTTGGGGGATTATGCGTCCCCAGATCTTTATCTGGGTATTGGCTGTTATTATGCATGAAGGATGAATGATAAAATTTTAACAAATGCAATAATAGAGGGAGTAGTTGCTTCTACAGTACCACTTCAAGCGCAGTGTAGAGTCAAATAGAAAATACCTTAATTTTCTAATCATCCATCGCAACAAAAATGATTAATAACAGTGAAAAGTGTTGCTAAATAAAAATTAACAAAAATCAGAGTTTACGATTTCATAAATACTCATACGAAGTAACAAAGGAAAATTATTACCTAGTAAATTTGCAGGTTTGTAGTCATCATTTATCTTTTAATAGGATCCAAATTAATTAACCAACTTCATGGTGCATTTATTCTAGTAGGAATTGAAAATGCTTAGGTAGTGATTAAGAAATTCATTTCAATTTTCACATTTTACAGCCAGCATTTACTCTTTAATAGGATCCCAAATTAATTAAGCAACTTTATTGTGCATAAACAGATACACTACACTAAATTCTCGGTAGATAGATACATGGAACTTCATTCCACTTCCAATAGGAATGGTACATTCTTAGCCTCCGTGACTGCTAACTTCGCCTCCTTCCTAGCCTTCTTATACCCTACTCTATTATCCCTAGTCTCCTCCTCGTCAGTTCTCTCTACTAACTTCAATTACGAAGCTTTCTTTGTTTCTACTTTTCCTTGGACCTCTTCATTCCACCACCAGTCTCATATATGCCCGTCAGAGTAACCCTTCGAGACCCTTAACACCTTTCTCGCAGCCTCCCTAATATAGTTCGCCGACATTAATCACATAGCACGTGCGTCCCCCTAATCCTCCAGGACCCCAAAGCCATCAACTTTCTCTCAAACTCTTGCGCTTTATCCTTAGACAAGGCTCCCCACCTAATCCTCGGGTGACCCTTAACAACCCGCTTCTTCTTTTTTATTATGATGCCTACGTCTATCACCAAGTGCCTATGATGCGTCGCGAGGGACTCATTCAGGATAACCTTGCAATTCTTGCACAAATCTTTATCACATCTCTTGAGGAGGAGATAATCANAAAATAAAAGGTTTATCTCTTATACTTTTGATGAATTTAAAATTATAATATAGTAAGAAAATTACATCGTTAATTATATTTTTAGTAAAATGCAAAATGAGAAAGCTAATTAAATATTACAGTAGAAAAGAATATATTATAATAGAGAAGAACGCACGAATAGAGGGGGGGTATAGATAATTTTATGATATTCATAATTTAAGTTAATTAAAAAAATAAAAATAAGTAAATAACACTCGATTTTTTTTTGTTGTTGATAAATTTAGACAATTAAATAATTTTGATCAGTATAACGTAAGTTCAAAAAAAAAATATATATTTCCAGAGTAATAAAACATATATCTATGTTATATTAAAAGAGAAGTAGTAACAAAATATTAAGTCAATATAATTGACAAGTTAATAAAAAGTCACATTAGTAAGTGTATAGTATTAAGTACTTTCTAATTTAATAAAGAATAAATAAGGAACAAACAATTTATTTGTGATGACCCGGCCAGTCGTCTCATGGGTTACCACTCTATTTTTCTGTTTCTGCTTATTTATGCTTTGTTATTCGTGTTTTATGGTATCGGGTTGGTCGGATCGAGTCCGGAATGATTTTGGTAAGGTTTGAGACACTTAGTCTCTTTTAAGGAAGTTTAAGTTGAAAAGGTCAACCGGATATTGACTTATATGTTAGAGGGCTCGGATGCGAGTTCCGATGGTTTAGTTAGCTTTGGGAGGTGATTTATGACTTAAGAGTGTTATCGAAATAGATTTTGGAGGTTTGGAGTAAAATTAGGCTTGAATTGGCGAAGTTGATATTTTGGCGATTTCCGGTTGGTAGGTGAGATTTTGATATAGGGGTCGGAATGGAATTCCGAGGGTTGCAATAGCTTTGTCGTGTCATTTGGGATGTGTGTGCAAAATTTCAGGTTATTCGGACATGGTTTGGTTGGGTTTTTGATCAAAAGCGGAATTTGGAAGATTTTTGAAACTTAGGCTTGAATCCGAGGTGTTTTGGTTGATATGATGTTGTTCAGAGTGTTTTGGTGGTTGGAACAAGTTTGTATAAGGTATTAGGATATGTTTGTGCTTTTGGTTGAATTCCGGGGTGCCTCGGAGTGATTTCGGATGGTTAACGGAGAAGTTGAAAGGTCATTGCAGATGCTGAGATTTGCTGCTTCTGGTGTTTTCGCACCTGCGGTTTGAGGACCGCAGGTGCGGCGCCGCACGTGCAAAAGAGGATGTGCAAATGCAGATTTGAGAGGAAGAGTAGGAACCGCAGATGCGGTAGATGGACCGCACCTGCGGAGTCGCAAATACGGAGAGAGGACCGCAAATGCGGTATTTGGTCCGTTAAGTGATTTCCGCAGAAGCGGCGGATTTGGCCGCATATGCGGTACCGCAAAAGGGGATTTTGGACCGCAGATGCAAGTATCCCTGGGAAGAAGGTATATAAGTCTTCCTTCGCGATATTTGAAGGTTTTCACCATTTTTGAACATGGATTCGGGAGCTCTAGGCGAATTTGAAGAAAGAAATCAAGGAGACTTCGTTAAGGTAAGGATTTTGAACCTAAAACACATTTCTATGGTGTCACACCCCTTTTTCTACCCCCGAAAGAATATTATATTATGGATCGTGGGTTAAAGAGTTTTTCCAATTGAAGTAACTAATTTGAGTAGGGATTATTCTATTGTTTAGAGTCGCCACTTGGAATTGATTTTTTTTTTTGGTGTTCCAAGTCACCTTTTGTTTGAATCCCTAGTCAAAGGAAGGTTTGACTCTATTATTATTGGTCTTCCAAAACAAAGTTCGGGTAAGGAATTCTTGACCGGGAAGAAGGTGTGAGGCATTCTCCGAGTCCCGTGGTTCTAGCACGATCACTTTATTGACTTAAACTTGGCTTCAATTAATTTTGGACATGTGATTTATAAGATTTTCATGTTTTACCTACCAACTTTTATTTCTTAATTATTAGAATTATTAAAGAATATTTTTGGATATTGCCATAACCATGCTACACAAGTGAATGCATCATCGAACAAAAATTAATAATTTATCATAATCGCACCTCGCAAGAGACTCTGAAATCGNTGAAATCATGACAATCAATTATTTGTAGTGCTTTTACTTTTGAGAAAATTACTACATTTATACTTGAGAAATTAGTTTGGAAAATTTATTAAATATCACTACCGCGCTACGCAAGCGAGTCCGTGGTTATGACAAAAACAATTGGGCCTAAAAGAGGAGGCATGATATTTATTTGCAAAGCTAATTATTGAATGTCACAATCACGCTACGCAAGCGAATTCGGGGTCGTATTGAAATTATTAACGCACCTGATGAAGAGTTCACTAGCCTTCTATTTTAGAAGTGAATAAGTCATATAAATATTTAAAGAGAATATAGCTCTTTGAAATTAATTGATAAAACTAAAATACTTATATTTGAATGGCTAACTTTTATCAACTTAAGAATGGAATGATTTGGTGATTTTGGCCATTAGAATAGCACTGGGCCCACTATGATTTTAAAACATTATTTTTTCAATTCTAAGTCCAAAGAAACAAACTGCCGCAAATCACTTTCTTTCTTCCCTTTCTCTTTTCTATTTATTTATGAAAAATGTAAAAATATATTTTAAAAAAAATATCTTAACGATCTCATGCCTATTTGGCCTAATAGATTTATATTTCTTTAAGCAAAATATTATTCTTATATAGAACTAAAATTTAGCCAAAGTTCACTAAGAATCTTTACACCAATATAATCTCAAAGATAAAACCCTTTCACATCCACAGTAGAAAAGAAATAACTTATTGATACTATGATCTTATCAAACCCGTATACATATTATACTTTATGAAGAAATTTAGATTTTTCGATATCCACGGGAAATAACCTTAAACTAACATGTGAGTCAAGATAGTTACATGAACCTGACAAGGTCTTTGAACCCAAATGACAGAAAATATTCTTGGTTAAATTTCATATTGTACTACCACTAGCATGAGTAAAACAAAATTATACAAAATTTTGTAAATAACACTAATCTAGAAGAAATTGA